AGTATAATTATTCAAAATAGTGCAAACGTGACATGCAAATTACAATAGTATAGTCAAGCCATAATTTAACATGTGATAAAATCATTTACTCAAATAGTAAGTTTGTGCACGTCCACGCGTCACCTCCATCTCTGTACCCTCTAGGATAGGCTCCACATTTTATTTTCTCTAATACCTACGTGTAGAAAGATGAAAAAATCTGCACGCTCAGCAATGAAGCTGAGTGGTACTATGGCACAACAAAAGAATTCACATAATAATTTTCATCACAATATCAATCACATATATCTGTTCAAACGCTTTTTTTATATTAAAAACCATGTTTGATAATTTTAACACTGGTAATGAATATTGTCAATTCAAAAATATCCATCATTCAATTGTGTACAGAGGTCAATTCGCCGCTCACAATAATTACATACATGTCATTTTAGTTATCACAATATTCATCATTTGTCACACATAACTTTATATCAAGTTTTATCATAAATAATTATCATTAACCTCTTCTAGGCTAAGGCCAAATCATATCAATGTTCTTAAATTATTATTAGTCTAAGGCCAAATCAAAACAATGCTCTTAAATTATTCTTAGCAAAAAATTGATGGCAGGTACCCCTCATTTTGGGTTAAAGACTCTCACGTCCCTTTTTTTCTAAATATACTCTTGGGGGCTTAAATTATGCTATTTGCGACTAAGGAGGGAACTTCCGTCCATTGCACCATTTGCTGCCTTACCTCCGGCTATTTTAATTAAAAAAGGTATTGAAATTCCTAATTTAACCCTCACTCTTTCCTCTTTAATGTTAAAAACGCTGTAACTTAGGGTTTGAAGTTTACGACAAAGCTTCAAAGGAGAGAGATGAGCCTCTGTGTTTCTTCAGGTATTTCCTTAATTTGACTATGTTCTCGTGCTTGTAGTTGAATATTATGAGTTTGGGGTTTATTATATTTGGACACAGGTTTATTCTAGATTTGAACTGAATCTGATCTTCGGTGAGTAATGGATCAAAAGAGGTATTAAAGCAAATATTATTAGTGTGAATGACTGTAAATAGTTCATTTATAACTATAGGCTTTGTGGTTTGATATTTGTAGTAGCCACTCTTTTAATTCATCAAGAATAATTTGCGAGTATGGTGAATGGTTGGAGGTACCCTACCTGTAGGTGCGGGAAAGACATGAGTATTCTTACATCTTGGACTGATAAGAATCATGGAAGAAGAATGTGGATGTGTGATGGAAATGTAAGTGATATATTTAGGTTTTTCTAGCAATATACCGTTGGTTTTTTGTTGCTAAAGTAGGTCAGTGTTGAACAGGGTACTCGCAAATATCATTATTGGGAATGGCTCAACCGTCAAATATACAATCGAGCTAAGAAGATCATTCCCGGACTTCTAAAGAAGAGTAGTGCAAAAGATGAAGAGATAAAGCTTCTAAAGAAGCGTATCAAAGAGAAGAAAATTTGAGCTTTTATGTTTGGGTTTTGTGCTGCATTGGTCCTCAACATGGAAATATTTGTATTGTTTATGTAATTTGAGGTTAGGAACTTATTCTGAACTAGTGTTTGTATGATTTATGTAACTGAGGTTTATGTATTTTGATGTAATGTTTGTATTGTTGCAACTAGAATTAGTGTATTTCTTGTGATTTACTTTGGAACTCATGATCAATGTGAAAAAAGATCTTTTTTATAACAATACATGTAGTGCAATGTAAAGCGAATCATATTTTAGTTGATCTGATTTGCCCATGAGGAACTAACACCAAATACAACGACTCTTGCTGCCAAAAATATTGAGCGAGAAAGGTTGCCTTGTTTAGAGAATAATCAGCATAACAAAGGGAGCAAAATGAACTGACCATAAGTTGTTGGATCTCAAAATGACCAAGGAAAATAAAGACCATAAGTTGCTTGTCCATGAAAACCAACACTGCATGACCGAAACCAAATAAATATTGGATTTTAAACATTACAAAAAGGGAGCATATTTTATTAAGGCATGGGTGCTGTAAAATTTTGAACCTATTCTCCAACAATTTCAAGCAGCTATTTTGAGTTAACTTACTTAACAAAATAAAACCAACACAAATAGCAGTTATTTATATTCATAAACAATGACTAAAATGAGGCAAAGGGATACAATATGATTCAATGGGAAGGGAAGGGATACAATCTGATTTAGCCCAAATGTATGCTTCTCAATTTAAATAAGGTAAGGGGAATATTAATAGCAATGCCAAAAAACAAAACATGTTACATGCAATGGTTTACCCACAGGTCACTACTACTGCAGTGTAACGCCCCAAAATATACCCTAAAAGTTATATTGAATTATTATTTAAATAAATAAATTTCTTTTGATTAAAATAAATTATTATTGGACTTTGGGCCTAAATGAAGTATGTTCTGATATACAATATCACAATCTGGATAAACCTGATAGAGATAAATCCAACATGTTGACTATTTGTGTGATCTTGATTAGGAACTTGAGTAAAGACTCAAATTAAGAGTAAATGAAGAATTAGTTTATGATGCAAATATTGAAATGATTTATTGAATAAATCATGAGAATAAGTAATATAAATTAAACGTCAGAATCTTTTTGAATAAAGGTCAATTAAACCAATTTTGACTCTGTCAAAGTCAAACCCCCAAAAATATGATGTCGGAAAAAGTATTACAAATAAATATAAAAATTATATCGTTGGATAGAGTTTAACTGTCCGATCGCAATTAGGGTGCAATTGGAACTCAATTCGGAGAAAGTTAGACCAAAAAGTGTACCCCTGGAACCAAAATCAGGGAGACTGTGCAGACGGCGCCTCCCAGCGCACTAGCCAATTGTGAATCTTCCTACGCTAAGCAACCTGTGTCTTCTTCTTCCTCAACTCCACTATATAAGGAGAGCTAAGCATTCTCAAATCTTCACCAAAACTTATAATTCCTTCTTTTATTCTGTTGCTCTGAGTGAGGAGAATGCAGTGGTGCTGTCAAGTTGGTGAGAGGTCACCAGAGTTGGGAGTAATTCTTGCTGGAAGTTTCACTGGAAAATTTCCATAACATTCGTTAAGCTTTGATGTAAGTCTGTAGATATATCTAGTGACTAGAATGTTCGTATTGATCGTTTCTACATTCATAAACGGTCGTTTGGTTGAGTTTTGTGTTTGACATGCTTGAAGAACCAAGAATCATAAACCATGAAATTGTTGTTAAAACTATGAACTAATGATAACAAAATGATCTATGAACCTTGGAGAACATTTCTATATAATTTAATTGAACTTTGGTAACTAAAAATGGTATTTTCGAAATTGGACCCGAACGGAGAAGAAGATGAACGATCGAAAAACACAGGGTATGGATCAATTCAAGGGGGTGGATCGATCCCTTGGGTATTGTTTTCTCTAGTCTTGATCGATCCAGAGTGCTGGATCGATCCCCCGAAATTTTGCTCCGAAAATGCTATTTTTGAGCCCTAAAATCCTGTTTTTGATACCAATCAATTATGAATAATATAAAGATGATTTCTTGGAATAAAAATGATGTTTTGACAACTAAAAGGAACTTACGTGGTGCATGACGGTAAGCTAGGGTGTTAACATTCGAAACCATGCCGCTATTTGCTATTGGATGTTATGTTGATTGATGGTTATGATGAATGATTATTAAGGATGATTATGAATGATGAACCTACTGAATAAAATAATTACTTTTGATTGAACCATGAGTAAAAATGAATATTGATAAATATGAAATGATTTCTATTGTTAAGGGTATCTAGAATAACTCTAAGATATACCCATTTATATAATTGATGTTAAGGCTATCTAGAAGACCTCTAGAATATATCTCGTATTAGAATGGACTTGTGAAAATATGAATATTCGGTGATTTGGATAAAAACGTATAAACGAGATTCATAGACCAAACTAGAGGATCACTCGTTTGGAAATAACCCGACTTAATGATGATTTAATCACTGTTTGTTGTTTCCTTAAACTAATTGAAGTTTAAGCGTCTGAGAACTGTTTGCCTTAAACTAATTATAGTTTAAGCGTTTGAGAATGATTTGCCTTAAAGCAATTATAGTTTAAGTGTCTAAGAATTGTTGCCTTAAACTAAATACGGTTTAAGCGTCTGAGAATGAAAAATTATGATTTGGCCTTAGACTAAGAATAACTAAGAGCATTGTTATCATTTAGCCTTAGACTAAGACTAGCTAAGAGCCTTGTTATTATCACTTGCCTTGTTTAAGAATAATTTAAGAGCATTGTCGAAATAATGAATATCTGAATTGAATAACATGTATGGATATAAATTGAAACAATATCAAAATCATGAATGATGAATGTTGAATTGAACATTATGTGCATGATATCAAATGATTGATTATGAATTTAGATTCAGTTTATATGGATGTTTGATGCATTAGATATGCTTACTCAGCTTCAACGATGAACGTGTAGTGTGTTTTATTTGCTACACGCAGGTTGATAGAAAGAATGATGTGACGTGATCTTGGAGCCAGACAAAGGCGAGATTGTCAGAATGGATGTGATGGTTTTAAATTGAAGAACATAAATAAATTATGTTTTGTGATTGTGACTTGTTAAGCTTTCGCAACATTGAAAAACTTCGTACTGTTTATGTTATGAAAAATATTATTGTGATAAATATAAGTGTTTGAAACGTTTTAAATTTTTACGATTATACTTTAGTCCGAAAGGGACTGCAGACCTGGAGGGATTATGGTGCTACATTGTTATACCCGAACCGGGGGTCTAAACGAGTGGCTATTTTGATGAGGAATCAAGGAATGATTCAGCTTTAGTTCAGGGCTATGGAGCAGAAGATAATCGATTTACACAAAGTGACAATCGATTACTGAAAGCTGTAGAATTTATGGGGAAGCTGATAGTCGATTATCTTAAAGGGATAATCGATTATTGAGCCCTGCAGGTGTTTCCAATGGGATTGATAATCGATTGTGGGGAATGATAATCGATTATTTGGCAGAAGTCTAGGCAGGAAGAAGGGTGTTTTTGTGGGGGAATGGACTGGAAATATATGGAGTTGATGAGGGAGTTCTTTTGGGTATTTTAATTGGAAGAAAAGAGTGAGATTAAGAGGAGAAATGGGGGGATATGAAATGGAAGAAAAATCAGGGATGGATAAACCAAGTTGGTGTTTAAGAGATATTACACACTCTTAGCCTAACTTGGTTTGAATCTAGAATTTAAATAAGATATTACACACTTATTTAAATATCTAGAACCTAAAACTCACACTTAAGATAACCACTCTTAAGATATAGAATTAGGGATTTGGCTAAAATAGCATCACACTATTTTATAAATACTCAAAGAGTAAAAGGAGTTTTTAATATTCAAAAGATGTGTTACATTTGGCCATAGGGCCTAATTTATATAGACAGGGGAAAGGGGGCAATAATTCACAATGCAATGAATGTGAACATGAGGAAGCTTCCTAGCAACATCCTCCTCCAAACATGGGGTAATCTTTCTTCAATCTTTGTCTCCTGGGTGGTCTTAAAAATCAGAGATGAGGCTGGGTTTGTGGGGGTTGTGAGCTTTGGTTTGTAGTGGTTGTTTTCTGGGTTTTAAGGCTATTATTTGGGTAAACATGAGGGGTTGTGTTTGCTGAGAAAAAGGGGCAGGGATGGGGGCTATAATGGGTGGTTTTGGACTTATAGGTTTGGATTTTTTTGTGAGGGAATATGGGCAGGAATGAGTGGCTAGTGGTGGGTCAGGTTTTTGGCCTTTTGTGGGTGTTTATGTTGGGATTGTGAAGTGTATTTTGACCAGGGGTGAATGGAATAAAGGGAGGGTTTTATTGGCTTAATAAAAGGCTTAAAAAAAGGAAGATAACAACAAACAAAAGGTTTTATTTTACACACTCTTATTTTCGGCCCTGGGCTAAAATAAGAGTCCGAAAAACTTTATTTTGAAAAGGAAATATTTTGGATGTTTAGGGAAGGTATGGGGAGTGTGGGCTGAGCCTCGGGTGTGGGACATGGGGGAGGGTATGATAGGGCCAAGCCCGGATATAACATCCTCCCGGTCTTCAAAAGAGTTTGCCCTCAAACTCAACGGATAATCGAGACCGTCATATGGACTGAGGTCTCTCTTACTGAACGTGGCAGACACTCCATCACTTTTACTAAGGGCAACCATGTAGGCATTGTTAGTGATCTTGGCTACCTCTTCAAATGGACCATCATCTCGAGGTTGAAGCTTTGCCTTGCGTTTTCCAGAGAAACGCTCTCTTTGTACATGGACCCACACTAGGTCTCCGGGCTGATAGTGGATGGAACCTTTTAACTCTCTCTTCATAAGCTTTTTACGAGTCTTATGATAAAACTCGGAAGTTTCTTCTTCACATGGAACCTGCAAAAACTTAACGAATTTGGCACGAGGTGCCGTTAGTGAAGATAGCCTTTGAGGTGAGGCTTCCACATCTGGGCTCATAGCTCCATGTTGAACCTTCTTCTCATTAACTTGCATATTTAAGCTAGGAAATCCACAGCTTAAGAACTCATCTCTGGTGGCAACAACATCCTTCTTCTCTAAATCGCCATTGGGTTTGTTTTCACCTAAACTTAGATGAACCCGGGGTTCTATCCCTTGGTTAGGTGCGGTCAGGGGTAGGAATAAGCATGCCGGTGAACCTTTTCTCAATGGATGCATATCCACAAAATTAGGTGTCCATGTCCTGTCAATATGAAATAAAGAAAAACTACGCAATTCCACTCGTAGTTCTCTTCCGTGGTTGAGCCATTCAATGGAACAGGATTTCAAGAGGGGTTTGATTCCAAGTTTATTTTGATTAGTCAAACTACTCAATGGTCTTATAATGACCACAAGTTCACCTTTACCTTGGCATAGAGATTTAACATCATCTTGTCCTTCCTTTCGTCCCAAAAGCTCTGATTTCTCTTCACTTTGGACCAAGGACTTCGGGTTTTTACTTGGACACTCAAAAGCATGATGACCAATCTTTTGTGAGTGGAAGCAATGGGGTTTCTTTGGGACAGTGGAGCTGGATTTTTTCTGGGATTGTGACCATGTCATTTTGAATTGAGGTTATGGTTTTGGGAGGACTTTGAACTGTGAGGATGGGGGAGGCTTTTAGAGTGCTTTGGACAGTGTTTTTGCAGGCTAAAAGAATGGGTTTAGATGAATCTTCAAGTGGGTGTGTAGGGGTAGGTGTGGGACTGGTTAGGACCGTTTGTGGAGGAGTTATAGGCATGGTTGTAGGAGAGTTTAGAGGCTGGGTCATGGAGGGGGTGTTGGGATTTGTTTGGGTAGCAGCTTGGGATGAAATATAGATGGGTTTTGAAGGGTTTTGGGTCAGAGGTGTGGAGACGGCGCTGGGGTGAATAGGGGCAGTGACTAAGGAAGGTAATGGGGTGGCTTGAGTTGGATTTTTGCGTAGACGATAAGGAGTTGGGTGAGAGATATTCTGGACGCCAGGGGTGCTAGATGAAGGAGGGAATTTAGAGGTGATTAAGGTTGGGGGAGAGAGGGTGGTATGGGGTGGCTTTCGTTGTGGAGAAGGTGGTATGACTTGAGAAAGAGTTTTAGGTGAAAAAGGGAGAGTAGTTTTAGGTACCTGGTGTATATGATCATTGGAACAAAATCTCTTAACTAAGAGTTTTCTGAACTTTTCCCAAGTTCTCACCTTAGCCTTGCCTTGGAGCTTTCGTTTTGAAGCAATGCTAGCCCACCAAGTAGAGGCATGTCTTTGAAACTTTGCCACCACTAGCTTGACCTTCTTGTCTTCAAGCACGTCTTTGAGTGTAAAGACGTTTTCAACTTTTGCTAGCCACTTTGAGAACTTCTCCGGGTCGTTTCTTCCCTCAAACGTGGGAATCTCCACTGAATTAGTGAGCTCCTTGATTTGTTTCATCACAAGCTCAACTTCCATCTTTAGTGTCTCCTGGGCAGCAGCTAATTCCCCTTGAAACATGTTTTGAGAAGAGCTTGGCATGGTGGATATATTGCTTGAAGAGTGTATGGTTGACAAAAGAGATGAGGGAGGCGTGTAAAGATGATCCCTTAGGGATGTTCAAAACAAAGCTCTGATACCAAATGTTATACCCGAACCGGGGGTCTAAACAAGTGGCTATTTTGATGAGGAATCAAGGAATGATTCAGCTTTAGTTCAGGGCTATGGAGCAGAAGATAATCGATTTACACAAAGTGACAATCGATTACTGAAAGCTGTAGAATTTCTGGGGAAGCTGATAGTCGATTATCTTAAAGGGATAATCGATTATTGAGCCCTGCAGGTGTTTCCAATGGGATTGATAATCGATTGTGGGGAATGATAATCGATTATTTGGCAGAATTTTGGGCAGGAAGAAGGGTGTTTTTGTGGGGGAATGGACTGGAAATATATGGAGTTGATGAGGGAGTTCTTTTGGGTATTTTAATTGGAAGAAAAGAGTGAGATTAAGAGGAGAAATGGGGGGATATGAAATGAAAGAAAAATCAGGGATGGATAAACCAAGTTGGTGTTTAAGAGATATTACACACTCTTAGCCTAACTTGGGGTTTGAATCTAGAATTTAAATAAGATATTACACACTTATTTAAATATCTAGAACCTAAAACTCACACTTAAGATAACCACTCTTAAGATATAGAATTAGGGATTTGGCTAAAATAGCATCACACTATTTTATAAATACTCAAAGAGTAAAAGGAGTTTTTAATATTCAAAAGATGTGTTACATTTGGCCATAGGGCCTGATTTATATAGACAGGGGAAAGGGGGCAATAATTCACAATGCAATGAATGTGAACATGAGGAAGCTTCCTAGCAACATCCTCCTCCAAACATGGGGTAATCTTTCTTCAATCTTGTCTCCTGGGTGGTCTTAAAAATCAGAGATGAGGCTGGGTTTGTGGGGGTTGTGAGCTTTGGTTTGTAGTGGTTGTTTTCTGGGTTTTAAGGCTATTATTTGGGTAAATATGAGGGGTTGTGTTTGCTGAGAAAAGGGGGCAGGGATGGGGGCTATAATGGGTGGTTTTGGACTTATAGGTTTGGGTTTTTTTGTGAGGGAATATGGGCAGGAATGAGTGGCTAGTGGTGGGTCAGGTTTTTGGCCTTTTGTGGTTGTTTATGTTGGGATTGTGAAGTGTATTTTGGCCAGGGGTGAATGGAATAAAGGGAGGGTTTTATTGGCTTAATAAAAGGCTTAAAAAAAGGAAAATAACAACAAACAAAAGGTTTTATTTTACACACTCTTATTTTCGGCCCTGGGCTAAAATAAGAGTAGGAAAAACTTTATTTTGAAAAGGAAATATTTTGGATGTTTAGGGAAGGTATGGGGAGTGTGGGCTGAGCCTCGGGTGTGGGACATGGGGGAGGGTATGATAGGGCCAAGCCCGGATATAACATACATGCAGTGCCAAAAAACAAAACAAGATGTTACATTGAATATTACAAAATAAAACAGAGTACATATCACTACTACTATAGTTTTGTTGTTGATTTCTTCTTCTTGTTTTTTTCTCCTTCGGCAACCTCCCTCCATCTCTGCTTTGCCCACAGGTCCTGCGATTGTGTCCCAACTGCTTAAATTTACTGCAGTGCTTGGTCCCATGAGCCATCCTCTTCTCTTTTTGCAATTATATCATCGATTCCATCTCTTCTTTTGTGCTTCTTAGGCTGCCCCTTCCTTTTCAAGGTCTTAGGAGGGTCTAGTTTAGGGAGTGAGTTCTCACCCCACATGCAAGGGTCTGGGATAGAATGTACTCTACCATGATAAAGCCTCTTGTACTTCTCTACTGTAAACCAATCTTCACAGTAGTCTTCAAGCTTCCCATTCATCCTCAGAATGCATTTAACCGCATTCTTACAAGGAAGGCCTGACACTTTCCACTTATTATAGTCACAATGATGGTCTCTCAGCCTCACTGTGAAGTTGGTGTTGCCATCAACCACATCAAATTCACCTCTACCATCTACTACAACCTCAGAACATACCCTGGGCTCCTTGCTAGACTCCTCAACTTCTTGTCTACATAAGTTGTAATTGTAGTACACCAAATCCTCCCTAAGTCAATCATTTTTCAAATTTATTCCCTATTAATTTCCTAATCTCCTCTAAGATTTGCAAGGTGGGCTTGGCTTTGCGTGCTTATATAGCCTTATTGAATGATTCCACAAAGTTGTTTTTGTTGTCATCACACTTCAATGCTGGATCAAATTTGTGTTTTGCCCTATGTTCATGTGGTTCATTTTTCATGAGCCACTCACAGGTTTCCGCATCCTCCACTTTTATCTTTTCCATTTCTTCTTTTAAATACATACTCTGAGAAAGTAATTGCCATAACATAGAAGAATGAATGGAACCATGCAGCTACCATAATTCATTTATGTATAAAATTTGGCAACTTTGAAGTCTGTTGAACATCAGATATAATAAGAAAGGGCAATATACCTGAGAACTTTGAAGCAAAGTTCTTATAAAAGTGTAGCACACAAATCCTTCTATTAGCTTTAGGAACAGCATTCTTGAGTCTTTTTATTATTGCTTATAAGACAAGGGAAAAAAATTATAACACATTTAATAGTAATAAAACATAATAATAGAACACTAACTTTGAAAGTAAGATTTACTGTATGTGTGTAAGATATTATTATATATGGGGATGAGTCTGATATTAGAACACGTGTTTACGTCTATGTCATACTAAAGCCGTGTTCGTTTTATGACATGTTTTGATAATGCCAAACCGCCGCGAATATGAGAAGATGTTGAACAAACTAAAGGCAAAGAAAACATGGCATATTGATCAAGTTAAAATGAGAACCAAGAACAAAGAACGAAGACTTAGAATATAGTTGTGTCTGTTAGAATAAAGGCCCAATGCTAGAGGGCAGGTGAATAGCATTTAAAAAAATTGCAGGAATTTAAAATGAAGAAGGTAAAGTAAAGAGCGTAAGGAAGGAGAACACCGTATTTTACCCTGGTTCATTACAACGTGTGGCTACGTCCAGCCTCCCGAGAGAGTCTCTCGAGTTACACTAACTTTGTTAAGCTTAAAGGTGCTTAAAAGACCCATACAACTTAAGAACTCGAGTCACACGAGCCTCAACGCCTTTTGCTCGGAGATTCTGCACTCCAAGACATTACACGAAGGAACGCAAACTTCCTTCGAATTACAACAATGGAAAAAAGCTCCCTTCAAGTGTATAGAAACACTTAAACACTCAGGAATAAAACTCTCACAAAGAGTAGATATGAGTGAACTAGTAAATGCTCAAGAACACGACAATTTATTCAAGAATTGGTTCTCAAAAAGCTAAGAAATATGAAAGATGATAATGCAATGAAAGAGTATTGATTGTTTGAAGAAATGTGTGTTAAATGAGAGGTTTTGGGTGCCAATTTATAGGCTAGAAGGTGGTGTATCCGTTGCAAGAGTTCCAACAGGATCTGAACAAAAGTTTCAGAGTCACAGAGCGATATTCGATTATCTTAACATGATAATCGGTTATCAAAAGATTCTATTATATCTCAGCTCCGGGTTTGACGGTATTAAGTTCAAACTCAAGAAACAAAGCCTTTTGTTTTCAGGATAAGAGGATAATCGATTGTCTATCTTAGATAATCGATTGTCAGATGGTGCAGTTTCTTGGATTTTCAGGAGGGATTGATAGTCGATTATTGGTATGGTGATAATCGATTATTTAGGGCTGCAGATTTTTGGGGAAGAATGATAGTCGATTATCTGGAAAGGATAATCGATTATTGATCCCTGCGGGTGTTTCAAAAGAGGACTGATAATCGATTGTTATCAATGATAATCGATTATTTTGACAGATTTCTGGGAACGAAATGATGGTGTTTGTGTGGGGAATGGCTGGAAAAATACGGGGATGATGAAGGAGTTCTTTTGGGTATTTTCAATGGAAGAAAAGAGTAAGATTAAGAGGAGAAATGGGGAGGTATGAAATGGGAGAAAATCACAACCCAAACACACCCCACCCTTATTTTTTTCATTGAACTCAATCCTTAAGGCCAAGAAAACCTGCCCCCACACTAAACCAATCCAGCCCCTTCATTCCCTCCATTAAAGGACCAAAACTACATGCCAAAACCTCCCTTCCAACCCATGCCATATGCCCCCTCTTGTTCCCCAACTAGGCTGACCAAAGACCCATTAAAATCCAGGACATATTGGCCCACCACCACACCAATCAACCCCTCCTATGTTTCCCCATATACCACCTAAGAAATACTTCCAAAACAGCCTGCAAGTTCCCCTCATTTAGCCCTCCCTTTTGGCCAAAATACCCCCACAAAACCAATCAAATAAGTGGGTTTTATTCACTTATTCCTTCCTTCCACTAATGGCCGAAATTCTAGCCCTACATGTACAACCCCTACTGCATTTTCTCCCCACCAAAAGGGCATCAATAAGTGGTCATTATTTTCCTTTGATTTGTGTGAATAAGAGACTTGTTAGTCTCCTTGTGTATACATTTCGGCCATAGGCCATTGTAATCCTGAAGTTGTAATCCTGAATTTTCTTAGTAATACACTTGTGTGTTTTGCTACCCAAATTCCTAAATCTATATCTTAAGAGTGGTTCTCTTGAGTGTGAGTTTTAGGTTCTAGTCATTTGAATAACTGTGTTATATCTTATTTGAATACTAGGCGCAACCCCAAGTGAGGATAAGAGTGTGTAATATCTCTTAAACACCAACTTGGTTTATCTATTTTATGAAAATACTACAATTCTTCATTTCCTCCTCTTTCCCATTTTCGGCCTCCCCACACATCCTTCCCCTTAAATATCACCTTTCTCCTTCATGGCCCGAAGAAGACTGTTATACCCGAGACCCGGGGTATAAACGAGTTGCTATTTTGTGGTGGAATTAAGGGATGATGCAGCTTGAGTTCAAGGTTCAGGAGCAGGTGATAATCGATTATGGCCAGGTGTTAATCGATTGTGGAGCTGTGCTGCTAAAACCCAGAAACGTCAGGGAAGGGAGATAATCGATTATCAGTGTATGATAATCGATTATTGAGGTTCGCAGCTTATTCCAAGGGAGTTCAAGAGGGGACGATAGTCGATTATCCTTGTTGATAGTCGATTATCAAGGTAGTCAGGATCCAAAATCTGGGTGGAAAATATGGAGGAGATGAAGGTGTTCTTTTGGGTGTTTTTAGTGGGAGAAAAGAGTAAGGTTAAGAGGAGAAATGGGAAGATAAGAAATGGAAGAAAAATCAGGGATGGATAAACCAAGTTGGTGTTTAAGAGATATTACACACTCTTATCCTAACTTGGGGTTTGAATCTAGAATTTAATTAAGATATGACACACTTAATCAAATATCTAGAACCTAAAACTCACACTTAAGATAACCACTCTTAAGATATAGAATTAGAAATTTGGCTAAAATAACATCACACTATTTTATAAATACTCAAAGAGTAAAAGGGAGTTTTTTTAATATTCAAAGTTTGTGTTACAATGGCCATATAGCCTGATTATATAGGCAGGGGAAGGGGGAAAACATACACTATACATTGAATGTGAATAAAAGGAAGCTTCCTAGCAACATCCACTTCAAAAGCATGGGGCATTCTCCATTCAATCCTGTCTCCTTAGTGGGATAAAATTCAGGGATGGGGCTGGTGTTGTGGGGATTTTGAGCTTTGGTTTGTAGTGGTTGTTTCCTGGGTTTTAAGGCTATTATTTGGGTAAATATGAGGGGTTGTGTTTGCTAAGAAAAGGGGTTAGGGATGGGGGATATAATGGGTGGTTTTGGACTTATAGGTTTGGGTTATTTGTGAGGGAACATGGGCAGGAAGTAGGGGTTGGAGGTGGGTCATGGTTTTGGCTTTTTGTGGGTGTTTATGTTGGGATTGTGAGGTTTAATTGGCCAGGAAATAAAAGGAATGGAGGGAAGGTTTTACTTGTTTATTAAAAGGCTTAAAAGAAGGAAAATAACAACAAACAAAAGGTTTTGGTTTGCACACTCTTATTTTCGGCCAGGGGCTAAAATAAGAGTAATAAAAACTTTATTTTGAAATGAAGTAAATGGCAAGGAGTTTTGGATATTTTGGGTTGGGTTGGACGGAGTGGGAGTCGGCCTGTGGAACCCTTGGGTCCAAAGTTAATCTGGCCTCTTGGGTTGATGGACTCAGAATTCTCACTAAAACGGATCATAATGTTTGAACATAAGTCATTTGGTTTTTGCGAGGGTGTGGGACATGGGGGAGGGGGTATGATAGGGCTAGGCCCGGATATAACATGCTCCCGGTCTTCAAAAGAGTTTGTCCTCAAACTCGGAAGATCTTCAAAATCCTCGTACGGGCTAAGATTTCTTCGATGAAATGTGGCAGCAACTTTTAGGCCTCGTGTAAGATTGACCACGTAGGAGTTTTTGTGAACCTTTGCCAACACTTCAAACGGACCATCGTCTTGGGGTTGTAGCTTTGACTTGCGTTTATTGAATAAACGCGCCTTATGAACGTGAACCCATACTAGGTCGCCGGGCTGAATGGACCGTTTCGAGTCATGACTCTTCTCAACCTTCTCTTCATACGAGGCCTGCAAAAACTCAACACGTTTGGTACGAAGTACCGTTAACGAAGATAGGTCTCGAGTGGAGGTTTCCCCGTCAGGAGTGACGACTTCTTCGTCGGTCTTCTCTTCTTGCTCTTCTTCTTTTATCTCTGTAACCCAAAACGGGTTATCCTCTGCATCTTCAAACATTTCTTCATTCTCTTTGACAAGTTCTTCATCCCAAATGGGATCATAGTCCTCATCATCGTATTCATCCCAAATGATCTTTGGTGTAGTGGGCTGCATGGTTTCGGTAGCTTGAGAAAAAGGTAGTTCGGACTTAGAAAAATGGGGAGCAAAGGTGGGGGTTTGAACCATGAAGAAAGGTGACTCTTCATGATATACCCCGGGCGACTACCAACGACTCTAAAGTCGTTAAGCAAATTAATGGAACAATGGATAAATGTTATGATCCCTTTTGGACCGAGGTTATCAATCCTAAAACCCGCCACATAGCCATAATTTCCCAGAGCCCAACTCCCACTTAAAACCCAGCCATTCTCATCCAAACCAATCCCCAAAATATCCAAAAAAATATTAAACCCCAAAACTATATTTCTTCTCCTTACCTTTCCTCCCTCCATCCCTGACCAAAAACCTTAGCCCTTAACCATGCCATTACCACTTCCTTACACCTCAACTTGGCTAAACAAACAGCCACAAAAATCCAAGACACTTTGGCCCACACCCACACCCTTCAACCCCATTTGATTCCCCCATATCCTGCCCAGGAAATGCATCCAAATAGCCTACCATCCAACTTTTCCTCCTGCCCAAAAACAGCCCCACCCAAAGCCAATCAATTGTGAATTATATTCACATATTCCTACCCTACAAGTACAATCACCCCTGTGTTTTCCCCCCACCAAAAGAACATCAACATGTGGCCATTAATTCCTTTAGTTTGTGTGAATAAGAGACTTGGTAGTCTCCTTTTTCTATGCTTATATAAGCTCATCCCTGAGCATTGTAAACACATATATTGTATTCCCAATTTCCAACTTAGTAATACACTTGTTTGTGTGTGCTATTTTAAATTCCTAAATCTATATCTTAAGAGTGGTTCTCTTGAGTGTGAGTTTTAGGTTCTAGTTATTTAGATAAGTGTGTCATATCTTATTTAAATACTAGACTCGACCCCAAGTTAAGATAAGAGTGTGTAATATCTCTTAACCCCAACTTGGCAACATCTATCCCTGATTTTCTCCACCCCATATCCCTCCATTTCTCACTCTGAAATCCCCCTCTGTTCTTCCCTTAACCCATAAAACACCTTATCATTCCTTCCCATAACTTCCCTACATAGCCCAGCCATTTTCCTTCCATATTGAAACCTCGGGTAACCCTGATAATCGATTATCCTTCACAGATAATCGACTACCCAACACCCCTGAACTTCCTTGGCAGAATCTGAAACCCCAAATAATCGATTATCAACTATTGATAATCGACTATCCCACTCTTCTGAATCTTCTTGGCTTAAACTACACAATCCCACAATCAATTATTGCTAAAGTGACAATCGACTATTTCCCTTCCCTGAACTCCCAAATTTCCTTCCCAAAAAAATTGAACCTCTTGTTAGTCGATTATCATAAATTGATAATCGATTATTCCTTTCTCCTGCAGTTTAAGAGGCTTTGTCCCAAACTTAAAGCTTATTCCCGGAGCTCGGGTATAACATTTGGTATCAGAGCTCATTGTTCTGCATCCCCAAGGACCAAAGCACTTCCCTCAAGCTTTCCCCTTCCCCCTTTTTTTGACCACCCCTTTGTTCGCAGTCCAACCATGTCAAATGAATCTCAGCCCATGTCTCATGAAGAGCTCGTTGCATCCAACGCTGCCTTAAAGGCCCAAGTAGAGTACTTGGCCAAGGAGGTAGCTAAGCTCACCAAGATAAAGCTCAGCACCCTTCAAGGAAGTGATCATGAGGATGATGCTAGCACCAGTAGCACCACCAAGGCCAAAACTAATGACGGGTCTGATTTCAAAGTGGACATCCCGACCTTTGAAGGAAAGGAATGACCCAGACGAGTTTCTAGAGTGCCTAGAAACGGTGGAACGCGTCTTTGATTTCAAAGAAGTTTCCGATGAGAAGAAGGTCAAGATAGTGGCCTTGAAGTTCCGCAAGTATGCATCCACGTGGTGGACCAATACTTGCACCAAAAGAAGAAGAAACGGTAAGGAACCAGTGTCTACTTGGACTAAGATGAGGTCCCTCTTGAAGAAGAAGTTCTTACCCGCTGAGTACGTTCGTGAGAATTTTGCTAAGCTCCAAACACTTAAGCAAGGTTCAAAGTCCGTGGAAGATTACAACCGAGAGTTCGAGGAACTCTTGCTGAGGTGTGACTTACAAGAAGACGATGAGCAAACCTTTGTACGCTACCTTTTTTGCTTGAACCTACAAATAGCCAATACGGTGGAGTTACAAAGCTACGAGACGCTCGAGGAGCTCACCAAGTTAGCCCTCAAAGTTGAGGCACAAATCAAGAAGTCCAAGTCCCTCTTTTCCAAACCCAACCATACCTATGCACGGCCTAACCCAATCTCCCAAAAACCCACCTATTATCCTTCCAAAAAACCCCCTACTGCCCACGGCCAAACCCCCAACTCCTCAACCCCAACACCGTCCAAAAACCCCTCCTCCTCCTTCTCTACAAGGGATGATCCCATCAAGAAAGCCCCTATTTGTTTCCGTTGTCAAGGGCGCGGTCACTACGCTAACGAGTGCCCTAACAAGAAGGTTATGGCGATCGTTGAGTGTGACGAAGAAGATTGCGACCCAACTTGGGTCGAAGAAGAAGTTGAAGAAGCGGACGAACAAGATGAGTACGTTGGTCCCGATGATGGTGAACTCCTGGTCATCCGTAGGACTTTGAGCACTCTAGCATGCCCCGAAGAACAACTACAACGGGAAAATATATTCCACACTCGCTGTACTGTCCAAAAGAAGGTGTGTTCCCTCATCATTGATAGCGGGAGTTGCACCAATGTGGCTTCCAAAACCATGGTGGACAAGCTGCGTTTAAAGACGTCACCGCACCCGAAACCGCATACGATTCAATGGTTGAATCATGGCAAGGGTTTACGTGTTGACACACAAAGCCTCATTTCCTTAAGCATTGGCGGTTCGTATAAAGACGAAGTATGGTGTGATATCATTCCGATGGTCGCATGCCACATCCTCTTGGGACGACCATGGCTGTTTGATCATCGAGTGCAACATGATGGATATGCCAACACTTATTCATTTTTGATGAATAAGAAGAAGATCACCCTTACCCCTTTACCCCCTCCTTCAGCCACGGCCAAACCAACCAAAGAACACCCCCCGTTCTTATCTCCACTATCTTACAATCCGAGCAACACGAATTCCATGGGATTAAAGACTTAATCCTTTTAGAAGATGGAGAAACCAAACCCCACACTCCCCCAAAACATTCCCATCCTCTAGCTCACCCAATCCTTGAAGAATACCCCCATGTATTTCCTGACGATGTACCACACGGCCTCCCTCCTAAACGGGACATACAACACAAGATTGACCTTATTCCGGGGGCTGCCCTACCCAACAAACCGGAATATAGGATGAATCCCGAGGAGACAAAAGAGATTCAACGTCAAGTTGATGAGTTGCTAGCTAAAGGCTTCGTGAGAGAAAGCCTTAGCCCATGCACTGTCCCGGCACTCTTGGTGCCTAAGAAGAATGGAACATGGCGTATGTGTTGTGATAGTCGATCTATCAACAAGATCAGTATCAAGTACCGGTACCCAATCCCACGTTTGGAGGACATGTTGGACGAGCTGCATGGCTCAAAAATCTTTTCAAAAGTTGATCTAAGGAGTGGCTACCATCAAATTCGCATCTTCGAAGGAGATGAGTGGAAAACAGAGCTCAAGACGAAGTTCGGGCTGTACGAATGGTTGGTCATGCCATTCGGATTAACCAATGCCCCGAGTACATTCATGAGACTTATGAATCAAGTCTTGAAGTCATTCATAGGTCATTTTGTCGTCGTATACTTCGATGATATTCTGATTTATAGCAAGAGCGAAGAAGAGCATGTTAATCACCTCACTTTGGTGATTAAAAGGTTGGACGAAGAGAAGCTGTACGGGAACCTCGAGAAGAGCCAATTCTTCTCTCAAGAAACGGAGTTCTTGGGATACTTTATCTCAAGCGAGGGCATCAAGGTTGACGAGAAGAAAACTCAAGCCATTCGAGATTGGCCCATTCCCACCTCTATGCAGCAAGTTAGAAGCTTTCATGGGCTTGCTTCCTTCTATCGGAGATTTGTGAAAGATTTCAGTACCATAACCGCACCCATCACGAATTTGACTAAAAATCAGAAGTTTGAGTGGAATCCCAAGGCCCAACAAGCATTTGAGACGATCAAGGAACGATTAACACATGCCCTTGTGTTAGCCCTTCCTAGCTTTGACAAGCTATTCGAGGTAGAGTGTGATGCCTCGGGAGTTGGAATAGGGGCTGTCCTATCTCAAGAAGGGCACCCGGTGTCATTCTTTAGCGAAAAGCTAAATGATACGAGGAGGCGGTATTCCACCTACGACAAGGAGTTCTATGCTTTGGTGCGATCCCTTGAACATTGGCGCCATTACCTTATAAGCAAAGAGTTCATCCTACATTCCGATCATGAGGCCTTGAAATACATCCAAGGGCAACATAAACTCCGACCCCGTCATGCCAAATGGGTCGAGTACATCCAAACCTTCACCTTCACCATCAAACACAAGAACGGAAGCATGAACAAGGGCGCCGATTGATATATCCCAGAGCACCAAAAATCACCCTCAAGTCCTTAAGGAAATCAGTGGAATAATGTCCAAGTGTTATGACCCCCTATGGAATGAAATCATCATCAAACCATGCACCCTAACCATACTTACCCTCAACCCATCACCACATTAATAACCAATCCCAGCACTTCACAATCCTTTCCCAGGAATCCAAAGAAAACCAAGCCACAATTTCCCTTTCTTCTTATTTTACAATGCCGAAAATAAGTGTCCAAAAACACACCCAGCATGGTCCCCATTATGTTCCCCAATACACTCAAATTATAAACCAAAATGGCCAGGGATATTTTCCTTCACAATAATACATCCAATCCCCACAATAAACCTACAATAAAACTCCAAATGACACACCCCACACACACCCCTTTGTCTCCCAACCCTGACCAAATTCAAATTCCCCTAAAACCTCCACAAATACCCAGCCAAATGTACCACTTCATCTTACCCCCACTCCTTGGCCCTCAACCTCAGCCCTCCCCACATTCATCCCTCCTTCCCCCCAACATTTCCTGCAACTCAGGACAGCCCAAAACCCCACCAAACAACCCATATCCCTGATTTCATTCCACTTAAGAAACATAAGCACATGGGCATTATTTTGAGTGAGTTGTATTTTCCCACATTCCCTCCAATGTAATCCTATATATTCAGCAATAGGCCTGGGTGTAGAAACACATTGTTTTCCCCTTTTAATCAAAGTGATTCACTTGTGTGTTGCATTCCAAATTCCTAATCCTATATCTTAAGAGTGGTTCTCTTGAGTGTGAGTTTTAGGTTCTAGTTATTTAAATAAGTGTGTTATATCTTATTTGAATGCTAGATTCAACCTCAAGTTAAGATAAGGGTGAGTAGCATCTCTTAACACCAACTTGGTTTGTTCCCCTTCCCAAAGAAATACCCCTTTTTTTTCTGTCTTGAGCTGTCCAGTAATCGATTATCAGTAGTAGAAGTCGATTATCTATCCTTCGTAAAACATCCGCAGTCTTCAATAGTCGATTATCACTTTCAGATAATCGATTATCAGCTTTTCCTAGAAGCCTGCAACTCACAATAATCGATTACCACTCCTCCGTCAATCGATTATCGTCCTTCTCAGAGAATTCCCAGAAAACTGCCAAGCACCTGAAGCCTTCAACAATCGATTATCCAATTAGGACAATCGATTATTAGCTTTTCCCAGCAACCTGCAATTCTCAATAATCGATTGTCACTCTCTCATCAATCGATTAGTGCCCTTCTCAGAGAATTCCCAGAAAACTACCCAGAACCTGAAGCCTTCAATAATCGATTATCCACTTAGGACAATCGATTATCTCCCTCCCCCTGCAAATAAAGAGTCTGAGACTATAAAACCCTGAGCTTAGATATAACATTTGGTATCAAAGCTTGTTGTTAAGCATTCCCTGAGGCCATACAACACACTTCCCCTTTTCTTTCCTCTCCATTTCCTTTACTCTCTCTCCCACACTATCATCATGTCAAACACTTCCAACAACCTGTCCAACGAAGAACTCCTAGCCTCCAATGCTGCTCTCAAGGCCCAAGTTGAGTACTTGGCCAAGCAAGTTGCCCAACTCACTAAGCTCAAGATGAGCATGGTGAATACCCCGGAGGAAAGTGAAGAAGACGAAGAAGTTCACCACGAAGCTAACTCTAGTAACACCACTAGAGAGGAGAATCATGAACGAGGAGCTACCGATTTCAAGGTGGACATACCCACCTTTGAAGGGATGAACGATCCGGATGACTTTCTAGAGTGGCTGGAAACTGTTGAGCGCGTCTTTGATTTCAAAGATGTGCCCGAAGAAAAAAAGGTCAAGATCGTGGCATGGAAGTTTAGGAAGTATTCCTCCACTTGGTGGTCCAACCTATCCACCAAAAGAAGGCGAGAGAATAAGGCCCCTGTGAAGACCTGGCTCAAAATGAGGAGCTTGTTGAAGAAGAAGTTCCTACCCGAACAATATGTACACGACAACTTTTCCAAACTTCAACACCTAAGGCAAGGTCCCCGCTCAGTTGAGGTCTATACTCCGGAGTTTGAAGAACTTTTGATGAGATGTGATCTTCACGAAAACGATTCACAAACATTGGTACGTTACCTATTTGGATTAAACACTCAAATAGCTAATGTAGTAGAGCTGCAACCTTATGATACCTTTGAAGAGCTCTCTAAGCTGGCTCTCAAAGTTGAGTCCCAACTTAAGAGAAACAAAACCTCATTTGTCCGTACTTCACCCTTTTCCAAAACCCCTCCAACTACCTCAAAGATAACTCCAAACACCCCTGCTCAAAATACCCACTCAAA